GGAATTTTAGAAACTTATATAATAAAGTAGAATTTTATTACTGAATTAACTATTTGATTGACCTCGTTACACCCAAATAAATACTAAATAACCAGTGAATGTAAACTTATTTACCGCCGGTACAAAATTAGTTTGTAAAAATTAGTAAATGTTACCGTCGGTAAAAAGCAAAAGCTTTGAATTGGGAAAAATAATGTGTAATTGAACAGCTGGCCAGGTGTCAATTTGCAACAACTGACTGTAAACTTATTTACCGCCGGTACAAAATTAGTTTGTAAAAATTAGTAAATGTTACCGTCGGTAAAAAGCAAAAGCTTTGAATTGGGAAAAATAATGTGTAATTAAACAGCTGGCCAGGTGTCAATTTGCAACAACTGACTCACTCACTGTCCTCAATTGAGGTCAAGATAAGTACCTCACGCGCCACACTGTCGGACGTGATCTCACGCGACAGCGCGTAACACGTTCTTTTATTTTATTTTTTAATTACAAAAACAAAATTATTGTGAAGATTGTGTTTGGAACAAAGAATGTGAAATTTAATTTAATAACCTCAATTCTCATTTTTAACTTGTTATTTTATATATATTGAAAAATAAGTTAGTATGTGTGAATAAGGGTGTATATATATATGTGTGTGTGTGTGTATGTAAACAATTCATAGTTACACCACCTCCGGGTGATATATACGTAAATGTAATTGGCGTATATAAGTTGGAAAACAGCCACCCACATGTTGAATTCAGGTCTACACACAATAATGAGTCAGTAATAAATTCAATTTTCACAAACAAATTAATTTTGTGACGTATCTCATTAATTATTTATTGGTTGAAAATCCTACCACTTTAAGAATATGAATTCAAAATTAAAATGTGAGTTGGACATTTTGTGTACTTGTTTGTTAAATAATTGTGTCATATGGTGGTAATATTTGGACTGTTTCATATCATTATATTTAATTTTATGTAAAATCTAACAAATATATCTTTTAAAATTATAGTTAATTTTTAAAAATTTAAAAAAGAAAAAGAAACATCAAATAACGAGAGAAGTTATTATTTGATAAAGGAGGATAGCTTTTTCATGTAAAAATAGTTTAAGATTGTTAATTTCTTATATATATATATTTTTTTTTAATAAAACATAAATAAATAATTCAACAACAAGATCATTAGTTATTAGTACCGAGAAGAAATATAAAAATACCGATCTTGTTTGTCTTTAGAATGAGAGTGTACCGCAGCTTGATTAGCATATATATATATATATTTCTAGGTTTTCGCCTTTGCTTGTATATCCATGGATTTTGTAGCTTTCTTAATGTTATATTAATTACAAAAATGTCATTATTATTTTTAATTTTTTCTTTTAGATTGTTGCTTCTTGCCATGAAAGCTTTTTCAGCCGTACAATATTATTTTTGTTTAATAGCTCGTCTTAAATTACAAGTTTATGGAATAAATCAAATTTAACATAAACGATTAATCCTGAATTTAAAAATTAAGTCTTATAAAATGACATAACTTACTCATTCAAAAGTAACAATATAACTTATTAATAACACCACATGTACACTTTCTTCACGAGCAACCAAATCTAAAATTTATTTAATTCTTCTTATAACATAACGTTGGTTTTTGACCAAATTATAGTTTAATTGAAAATTTTGAGAACTGTTGCTATCTTAAAAATTAATCCGTATCTTATGCAAATTCTAAAAAATAAAATTTAAATACAACATTCAATATTTAAGAAATTATCATATTATTATTACGAATCTAAAAAGTATGAAGATTTGAATTCATATCAGGGGACCAATTGGTAAAACCTAACTTGTTCTTCATATATCATGGCTTGACTCCACGAGACATAGTTATGAGATTAACATCAAGAAGGAACTGTCTCAAAACTGCAAAAAAGACGTATTGTCTTGCAGTTAAGAAACAATACTTTAACCAACAAAAAAAGAGAATGAGGGAGAGGGAGACTTATATTTTCATTAATGGCAAATGGCAAATGACATATAGAGTGAGTATTTACGCAGATAATTAAGCATACAGGTACGTAAACAAAAATAATATTAGAGTTAAAACTAATTACCATCTATAAATATATATATGTATTAAAAGCTGTTATATGTATATGTGTGTGTGTATATATATATAGACAGAGAGAGGATAAGCTTTTTACTTTTCCTTTAGAAAAAAAGGACATCATTTAAATGATGTGCATGTATATCAAATCAATGGATAAAACGATTTCGTTGTCATAAAGTACATCAGCCCCAACCCAAGTTATGATGTTATTTTTCCCATACCAAAAATTAGGCTAAAGTTCAAGAATCTATATATATATATATATGTTTTTAACTTCTATTTATTTAGTAGAAAAAAAAAATATTTTACATATAAAGTAATTATTTTCTTAATTAAATAAATAGGCATTCAGATTATGTATTTATTATTTTTTTCAATAAAAATTTATATAGATTTGTACTTTATATCTTCTTAATATTATTATATATGTACACATTTGTAGATTAAAATTATTGATTTTTAACTAGCTTTAAAAATTCCTATTTAATTTATTTAGTTTTAACATATAATTAATACAAAGTTGTGAGAATTAAATAATCAAAAAAAATAGAAATTTAATCAAATCTTAAAATTATCGACATAAATGTTTTTTTAAAAAAAGAGAGAGAGAGAGAGAGAAAGAGAGACCCCATTCAATCTTGGGGAGTTAATTGAGGTGGGAAGAGATGAATGGATAATCAACTCACACCACGTAGCTGGAACCTTCAATTCAAAAGTACGGAAATAACTGGGACCCACTCTGACAGCTCCCACTTAAATTCCTCTGCAAGGAGGCGCGTACCCCTCAGTACCAAGCAAACAGCGCGTCCATTTCAAGCTCCAGCCATGAGCTGTGTTAACCGGGTCCCACCACCCATGTGCCCTCCCTCCTGTCTCCACCAGCTCCTGCCGCTCAATGATTAGCTCTCTGTTCCCTCTTCCAAAACCCTTCCCTCTCTATACTCTATACCATTTTACCAAACCCTTATTATTTTCTCTCTCTCCCTTCTCAACCCCAACTATACAAGTCTTCAAATTCACTCCTAATTCTCACCCATGTCAAATTCTGACGCACCCAATAACGGTCTTGCGAATGGCTCCATAGTTGATCCTCAGAGGCAGCAGCCGCCCGGCAACGGCGCTCTCGCCGTCAAGAAGCCGCCCTCCAAGGACCGTCACAGCAAGGTCGATGGTCGAGGCCGGAGGATCCGGATGCCCATCATTTGCGCCGCCAGAGTCTTCCAGCTCACTCGCGAGTTGGGTCACAAATCCGACGGTCAAACCATCGAGTGGCTCCTCCGTCAAGCCGAGCCATCTATAATAGCTGCCACTGGAACAGGAACCACTCCCGCTAGTTTCTCCACCGTATCTGTATCCGTCCGCGGCAGCAACTCTACTTCCTTGTCATCTTCCTCCACTTCCTCTTCCATCTCATCGTCTCTCGATCACAAGCCTTTGCTGGGACCCGCTCCCTTCATTCTCGGGAAACGTGTAAGAACGGAGGATGATGCCGGCGGAAAAGACGACGGCGGTGTCACTGTGGGACCCACTGTGGGGTCCATAGTAGGTCCTACTACTCCTGGAGGTTTCTGGGCGTTGCCGGCGAGGCCTGATTTTGGGCAGGTTTGGAGCTTTGCCGCGGCTGCTCCTCCACCCGAGATGGTAATGCAGCCGGGGGGCGCGGCCGCCGTGTCGCAACAGCAGACGTTGTTTGTTCAGCAGCAGCAGCACGCGGCGGCCGCGGCGGCAGCGGTGGCTGCCATGGGAGAGGCGTCGGCAGCGCGGGTAGGGAATTATCTGCCGGGGCATCTCAACTTACTGGCTTCATTATCAGGCGGTCCAGGGAGTTCGGGGCGGAGAGAGGAAGATCCGCGTTGAATTTGATGTGGGTGCGAGTTTGGTGGAGGTGATGTCGTCGTGGAGACTACTTGGGTATATAGTTATAGACTATGATATATATGCGTACGTTTGTCATTGCTTTGTGTTGCGTGCGAGGATGGAGGAGGTAATTTGTAGTGGAAGTTAGGGTTAGTGTTAGAGCTTTGAGAAATTTCAAGCATGGATGAATGAATTCAATTAGGGTTTTTAGTACTTGGGTTGATGATTAATTAGGGGTTAGGTACTCTTTTTGGAGGTTTTGTGGGAGAGGAGAGAGGGAGTTTCAGAATTAATAGCGTTGCAGAATGTGTGTAGTGTATATTGCTTGTGTTGGTATTATAGAATTTAATTTTGTATTCTTCAACCAAATGGGTGAGTGGTTGCTTACTCAGAAAAGAAGAAGAAGAAGAAGAAGAAGAAGCCATGGAAGGTTTCTTGTCCATGTTGTTATGTGTTTGTATTAGTACCTAATTGGGTGTATAGATATACGACAAGTGAAGACACAAGCAATTTGACTCGTACCAAAGCTTTCTTGATTCATGATCTTGAAGCAGCCAAAAAATGGAGTTTGTGATGTGTGATTGTGCTTAGATTTTGCTGGAAGCTGAGAACAGCTATCAGTTATGGTGTCTGAGAATTCTAATTGGTATCCTGCAATATGGGAGTTCTTTTTTCTTCAATGCTTCAATGGTGTCTTAAAAAAAAAAAAAAGAAGCAGCTCTGTTTCCTCTCTTTTAAGACCTCTGTTTTTGGAAATTCTGCATCGTATTCTTAGCCGATTTCTTAGATTTATCAGTTTGAAAAATAATGTGTTATCCATGTATTTAAGTGGATTGTTTGGGGTGGCCTGTTGTGTGAATAATAAAAAAAAAAAAAACCCATCTGTTTCTCTCTAATTTCTCTTGACTCTTCAATTTATTTCTCCATGTAAATATAGAATTCATTCCCTGCTGCTAATACTCTCAATTCATTATCAGCTTTGGTTAATTCAATTTGTATGCATTTCTTTGAATCTCCTTTTGGAAAATTTCACTCAATGGTTTCTTCCTATTTGCTCAAGATTCCAGCCTCAATCATTTATTGAATTAGAGAGGGTCTTAAAAGCAGAAAAATGAAAAAAAAAAAAACCACTGCTTTAAATTCTTTTTGTGTTCTTAAATGAGAAACTCTGTTTGAGCTAAAAAAAAAACGAACAAGTGAGAGAGAAAGAAAAGTGAGAAGGGTTGTTTGGAGAAAAGATTTTATAGGTAGGAGGAGAAAGAAGAGGGGAAAAGGGTTGTTTGGAATGGGGGAATCTGGGTATTCTCAGAGGTGGTGGTAGTGGAAAAGGGACCCAATAGATCTGTGAATTGGTGTTATACATAATCAGAAAAAGAAAGAGGTGATGATTAGTGAGGTCGGCTTAATATTAGTTTTTAATCTAATTAATTAAAATTAATAATTGGGAAAAAGCCAAGGCTGAGCCTGAAGGTGTCAATAATTGAAGGTGGGGCCCATTAATTGAATGTCGTTGTTGAAAAGTTGTTGTAGGTGGTGGGAGGAGTGATCTTATGAGGCTGCTCCATTTTAAGCTGAATAGGGTTAAAACAGCCACAGGGTGAGAGATTTGATTTCTTTGACCCACAAACCTCCGGTGCTTGTCAGGGACGTCCGCTCGCCGGCGCCGGCCTTGGCCTGGGACTTGGACTGCCAAGTAAAAACTTATATTATGAGTATTATATTTAATTTACTTTAAAAAAAAAAAAAAAAAGATCGGGGGTGGTGAAGTAAAAACGGTGCAATTAGCGAGTTTAGCAAAGCAGAAGTCAGAAGGAAACTGTCCGCACAAGGTTTGTGAAATGCTTATTAAAAAAAGAAATGCCCCCACGCAGGATCGAACTACGGACCTTCAGTTTACAAGACTGACGCTCTACCACTGAGCTATAGGGGCTTAGTTTCACTATGGGAGCAAGCTAAATAAATTTGACACGATAAACGAGTTTTCATTAAAACACCTACCAATGGGTTGTTGGGCGTGTAGAGTGAGGACGTGACAAGTTCAATTTCCAGAAAGAATGGCGTCGTCCAGAGGAGGGGGAGGGGGAGGGGCGGTGAGGGTAGGCGAAATGGAGAAAATGAACATCGACCAGCTGAAAGCATTGAAGGAACAGACTGATCTCGAAGTCAACCTTCTCCAGGACAGCCTCAATAACATTCGCACGGCCACTGGCCGCCTCGAGCTCGCTTCTTCCGCCCTCCACGATCTCTCCCTTCGTCCTCAAGGTCTTCTCTCTCTCTCTCTGCTTATTTATCCAGCTCTTTCTGATATGTTTTGTGTTCTTAAAACTTCAGGGAAGAAGATGTTGGTGCCTCTCACCGCTTCTCTCTATGTTCCCGGCTCGCTCGATGATGCCGAAAAAGTCCTCGTTGATATCGGCACCGGTTACTTTGTTGAGGTTACTTACTTCCTTCTTTGAATCTTTAACTTTTTGAGTTGTACAGCTATTTCGCGCTCTCTTCTCTTTTGCTTTTCTGTTTTTTTTTTTGGGGGATTGATGTATTTTCAATTATTTTGAAGTTCTGTTAAGCTTCAGTCATCCCTAAAACACCATAACAACATCCATGTAATAGGAGTCAATTGCGTCCTCATCTCGACATGTAGGATTATAGCTCAGAGAAAACAGAATCTATTTTTGCTGATTGTTTAGTGTCTCAGCAGCAGATTTCGAGTCTCGAAACGTATGGTTGTGATTTTACTATGTGCCTGGAGCCACAGTTTTGGTTTCTCAAAAAAATTTCACACGCTGATATTTGATTGGTAGTAGGCATGTTATTTGATTGTTTGATAATGTGAAAAGAAAAAGTAAGTGAAAATAGTGTGGGAAATAACGTTTCCACTCTCTGGAGGGAATACTGGTTCTTTTTCAATCTCCATTACTTCCCTAGTTATGAAAAAGCTTCTTGTTTTTGTTTTCATGTCAGAAAACTATGGCGGAGGGCAAAGCTTATTGTGAGCGAAAGATCAACTTGCTGAAATCTAATTTTGACCAGCTCATTGAGGTATTTTATCAATCAAAACTTTTTCTTATTATACAAAATCTGGATTTGTAGCAATAAAAATGTCAAAGCATTGAGAGTAGGAGAAAAGATAAGAGTAAGGTATCAGCTTTCATTATGTAGGTTATAAACTGCACTTGGGCTTACTTCTGTTTGAAAAAAGCAAAAAGAAGTATAGATATGCTAAAAGATTAAGTTGAAGACATGGAGAAGGAACCAAACAGAGTCTTTCTAATCTAGATGTAAATTAATATTTTTCACTTATACATTCTAATTGTATCAATAGACTGTCTTTATTTAGGATATTTTAGTATGGAACAATGTCATTAGCAAACACCTTGTGATGCCCCTTCTATTATGGTACGCAACTTGTGGACATTGGTGTTCTAGAAAATAAGTAACAGGAATCACCAATTAGTAGCTTGTATATCAATGAAGTTGAGGATTACAAATTTACAATGTCCAAGAAATTTTAGTCCCATATGTTGTCTTGTGAAAGACTGTTGATGTTTAACTAAAAACCTTCAAGCTGTTAGTTGTTAATTTTATGTTAGTTCTAGCATGCTTTCAGCACTTTATGTAGTTCAAAAATTTCATTTGTATTAATGCACACTGAGTATCTAATCTAAGCTGGGATAAAAGGACACATTCAAGACTGGTGATGGAATTTTGTTGCGCCAGTTGTGAGGATAAGCTTTGAGACTTTTTGGCTAGTAATTGTGTAATATCACATGGTCATTTGGTAGTTCAACTAATATAATATATTTTACATGTTTTGTGGAATATGTCTATCCTATCAAGGAAATTCAAAAGCAATGAGCTTTAAAAGGTCAATGTCCTTTACTAGTAAAATCTCAGGTACAGCCAGTTTAAGGTTCCTAATTTGCTGTATTCATATTTTACCGAGATAAGGATTCAAAATGTCTAGTACTTGCTAAGTGACCGTTTGACTAAGCTTCTAGCTTGTGTTTCAACTCTAGAAGAGTAGATGTTGGGCCAAATGCCCAAGTGGAAGCACTTATTGAAATAAGGAATTACTTTTAGCTTCTGATTAAGTAATATCAAAAGTCAATAATAGACAGGAAAATGAATAGTAATCAATGTATGAGATTTCCCTTTCGTTAATTTTTAGTTAAACGTTCCTTTTATTAATTCCTTTATTTAATTTTTTCAAATGAATGTGTAAGAGTAATTTGTTGTTAATAATTTAATATTTATCATAAATTATTTAAAAATTTTAAATTAAAAATTAAATAACTAAGAAACTAATATTTATATGAGAGGAAACTTAAGGAAACTTTCATAATATCATTTAAGTTATTTGTAACACTCATTTTAATAGTTATACAATTTTTTAATCATTTTAACATCTTTATTTAATTCTATATCATAATTAATTGAACACAGTGATATTTTTTGTTGGGGATCCTGAGTTAGCATTTATGCATGCTTCAAAAGATGTTGAGCCTCGTGAGAGGCAGGGTGATACAGGACAAATATGGTTGATCTTTTTAATTTGGGATTTGAGGATAAAAAACCTAAATATTATACCTAGAGTTTCTTAGACATTATATTTAAGAAGTTTTAAGTATCATACTTAAGAGTTTGCTTGCATCACACAACAAGAAACATGAGAAATTTTCAAAATATTGTTGGATACTTGAATAATCAATAAGTGAAATACTACTACATTTATACAATCTTTAAGTAATGTTCCTAACTAGAGTTATATTAGAATAGTAACTAGTAGAATTAGGATATATTCATAATAAGATA